TGGTCAGAAGTAAACACAGAGCTGAGAACTGTGGGCAAACTCAGTGTTTATCTCAGGGGAAGGGAGCACCAGGGGGAGTGGGGAGGGCGTGGAGGAACAATTATCCAGAAAAAAGACAATGGCACTGAGAACACCAGCAAACAGAAGACCCAGACTCGGGCTCAGTCAAGCCCCGGTGCCAGGCAGCACCCGCGGCCAAGGAGACAGCGCTGCTGGCCGAGCCGGAGAATGATCCCCAATGGGCAAAGCGGCTTTGACGGGCCCAAACGTGCTTGCAAATAGTGGAGGCTAAAACAGCGCCAAAAAGAAACGGAAGATTTCAACAAAAAATGTAAAGAAGATGTAAAGAAAGCCAAATTCCAAATTTTGGAACTGAAAAATACAGCAACTGAAGCGAAAACCTCAGGGGATTAGCAGCAGGAAAGCAGGCTTCCTCAGGGGGCCAGAGCGCCAGGGGCTTGGGACGCCGAAGCCCCGCCGTGAGGGAGCACCCCGGAGTGTGTGCATGGTGCACACACAAATAAGCAGCGAAAAATAAGGAATGGCTGAAAATCCCCAGATTTGGCAACAATGCTCAAAAACATTCTTAAACAGGACAGACCCCAAGAAATCCACACAACCCCAGCGTAGTCAAACTTCTGAAAACTAAAGACAAAATGAAATGACCTTTAACCTACCAGGAACATCATGGGAATCACAGCAGATTTCTGATCAGAAGGCAGAGGCCAGAGGAAGTAGCTGCCGTCTTCCCAGCACTGAGAGAAAGTTGTCAGCCTAGAAACCCGTGTCCAGCGAGCACCTTCAGAACTGAAGGGGGAACAAAGATGTTCTCGTTGGAAGGAAAATTAAGAAATTTTGTCACCAGCACAGGCATCTAAATAATGATTAAAAGATTCTTTCTAGGGATTCCCTAGAAAGAAAGAAATGAATAAAGGAGACTCGAGCACCTAGAAGGAAGAAAGAACCTGGTAAATAAAAATGTGGACAAGAACAACAGGCCTTGCAATTAAGAAATATAAATTTTAAACATCACATCAGGCTGAATGAAAATAAAAATAAAACACGTCAAAATTTGAGGGGTACAACTAAAGCAGTGCTGACAGGAAATTTATTGAACTAAACATACCCATTAGCAGAGGAAAATGTCTCAAATCAATCATCTAAATTCCCACATTAAGAACCTAAAAAGGGAAGAGGAAAATACTCAAAGCAGTCTGAAGAAAGAAATGATAAAGCTAAGAGCAAAAAGTCAATGAGATGGAAAAGAGAAAATCAGTGAAACAAAGCACTAATTCTATGAAAGGATCTCCAGAACAGACGACCCTCTAGCAAGACTGACAAAGAAAGAAAAAGAGAAGACACGATCTCGAATCAGAAACGGACGGGGCTGTCGTCCGCCCTGCAGACATCACGCAGACCCTGAAGGGCTGCCAGGAGCAGCACAGCAGGCCGAGGTTGCTGAAATGAGACGGGAAGACTCATCAAAAACAAGCTAGCCAGAATCACCCCGTAGCCAACGGGTCTCTCGAATAGTTCCATAAATACTACAGAAATTGAATTTATGATTTTAAAAGTGCCATAAAAGAAATCTCTGGGCTCAGATTATTTCACAGGAGAATTCTACCAGATATTTAAAGAACTAACACCAAATCCACACAGCCTCTTATGGAAAACAGGAGAAAACAATTTCCAACTCATTCATGAAGCTCACACGAACCTCACAGCAAGGCAGACAAAGACAATACAGAATAAAACGCAGCCCAACATTTCTTATAATGGAGATGCAAATTTTTTTTATATATATATATATATTTTTTATAGAGGCATGCTTTATTTATTTGTTTGCTGGTTTGTTTGTTTTTGTTTTTTGTTTATACAAGCACTGGGTACAGTCAGAAGCGCGGGAGGGTGAGAGAATTCACCAGAGCCAGAGCGGGGAGCAGAGCAGGCAGAAGGACCGAAGGACACTGCTGAGGGGAGCAGCGGGCGGCAGGAGAGGTCTGCACACCATGTGGGACCCTCACCCGACGGCCGGGGATCAAACCCGCGCTGCAGAGGCCGCAGGCAGCTTCACAACCCAGCGCTCAACCGCTGCGCCACCGGGGAGGCCCTGGAGATGCAAAATTTTTAACAAAAACATTAATATGTAGAAATCAACAATATATACAAAGAATCATTTTCTATGGAACAGAATGCAAGGTTGGTTCAATATTTGAAAATCATTCCATGTAGTCATGTTACATGTAACATGTTAATGGACCAAAGATGAAAAATGACAAACTCATCTATTTAGTAGGAAAAAAACACTTGATAAGAATCAACACCTATAGGCCTCCCCTGGTGGCACAGTGGTTGAGCGCTGGGCTGCGAAGCGGCCCGCAGCCTCTGCAGCGCGGGTTCAATCCCCAGCCGCCAGCGAGGGTCCCACATGGTACGACAGACCTCTCCTGCCGCGCCCGCTGCTCCCCTCAGCAGTGTCCTTCGGTCCTTCTGCCTGTTCTGTTCCCCGCTCTGGCTCTGGTGAATTCTCTCACCCTCCCGCGCTTCTGACTGTGCCCAGTGCTTGGATAAATAAATAAATAAATCTTAAAAAAAAAAAAAAGAATCAACACCTATTCAAAATGAGACAACCACCAGGATTAATACATCAGTCTGGCAGGGTCCCAGGGTACAAGCATAATATTAAAATGTCTGTTGTGTATTTACATATTAGTAGGTGTGCACATATACGCTCACTTCATCTTCACCAACGCGCGGAGGCAACATGACGAGACGGGGCGGCTCCTCAGCAGGAGGCACTGAGACAACGCCATATGCTCACGCGGCAGAAAAGCAGCGTCGACCCCTGACTCGCACTACACGAAAAACGAACTCAAAATGGATCATAGCCCAGGACTGGGAGAAAATCTTGCAACCTTGGAGTAAGCAAGGATGCCTGAGCGTGAAAGAAGGAGCCTGATACGCGACATGTCGTACAAATTTAAGACTTCTGGCTTGGGAAAGGCACCACTAAGGAAGAGGAAAGGAAGCAGCTCAGAAGGAAAACTCTGCTCTTGCACCTGTGCTGAAAAAGGCACAATTTAGCAAACTTATCAGGTCAAGCAAACAGAACCAGGAGTTCTTGGCGGTGCTTTCCTTGGCTGGCGGGGGAGGCCCAGGCTTGCTCCGCCTCCCTCTCCCGGCGGCACCCCATATTCCTGCCGAATGCCGTTGCCACCTGGAAGCCACCCAGATGCTTCTGCCCAACATATTTCAACATCTCTTCAGACTTAGAGATAAGAGGGCAGAAGGAGCAACTGTGGAGGAGGAGCAGCGCTTGCCTGGGGGCATCAGGCTGCAGACAGAGCATGGGGGGCAGCCTGACCCACAGGGACCCCCAGTCCAGCTCGTCCTGCAGACCACCCTGGACTCGTGCCCAGCAAGTCGAGGAGCGGAGCTTCAAGTCACACGTGCGATTACGCAACATGACCGGCTGCCACCTCTGTCCTGTGGGCCTCAGCCACGGAGGCAGCTGGCCTGGGTGTGGGAGAGGAGACGCTATGCATCTGGGTGTGGAGGGCCCCCCAGCAGGAGCCACACCCCCCCCCCAGCCCACAGAATCCTGCGGGCCTCAGCTAGGAGGTGCCCTGCCTCCACTACGCCTCAGGGCTCCAGAAGCTCTACCCAGAGCAGTGAGAAAAACATGCACTAGATAAGGGGCTGGGAAGCAGGGCCTGGGCTGGGGAGAGGGGCACGGAGGGCCACAGCCTGGACAGGGCCTGGGGGAGCCGCAGGGCCCGGCCCGCCTCCCGGAGCTCCCGTCCCGCAGCGGGGCCGCGGCGGCAGGTGCAGAGGCCGCGCCCAGCACAGCGCGCAGGGCGGCCCCGTCTGCGGGGCGTAAGGCCCCCGGGGCTTTGACCCCCAGACGCCCTGGAAGCTCAGCCGCGGCCGCGCGCGGGCACGCGAGGGGGGCGCTTCCATCCCGGGGCTCGGGCTGCCGGGCCCAGCAGGGAGCCCAGGCCCAGGCCCGCTCACCGCGCCGCCCCCTTTGAAGCTCCCGCTGGACCTGCCACGCCCAGCCGGGCCTGGACGCTCAGGCCGGACCCCAGGAGCCCCAGGGCTCTGCCAGCGCCAGCCGGGACCTGGCAGGCCTGGGGGCGCAGCTCCACCCCTGACGGCAGCCGGGCTGTTTGGGGGCCCCGCCCCAGGGCTTGGTTTGCCGCGACCCGCGGGCTGCGCTCTGGCCCGCGCCGGCCGCTCTGGCGGGGTCCCCGGGGGGCGCCGCGGCAGCTGCGGGGGCGGGAGCGCGGACGCTGCCCGCGGGGTTCCCACTGGCCTGTTCCTCCTTCCTTTGGGGGTTCGGAGTGTCCGGACGCCGCGCGGGGCTCCCCCGAGAGGCCCTGCCGTGTCCGCCGGGTCCGCGCCCGGCCCTCCGCCCGCGCAGACGGCCGCGCCTCTCGGGCCGCGCCGGGCGCGGGGGCCGGGCCTGCGCGGGGCGCCCCGCCAGCCTTTGATCCTGGCAGGCGGCCGGGGAGCCGCGCCCCGCCCGCCCGGCGCCGCCCCAGCCGCCGGCCCGGCCCGGCCCCGCCCGCGCCCGCCCCCGCCGGCCGGCCCGGAGCGCAGAGCCGCCGCCGGCGGGATGTGACCTTCAGCGCCGCCCGCGCGGGATGACCGGCGCCTCCGCCCCGCGGCGCCCGCGGCCCGCCCCGGCCCCCCGGGCGCACTGACGGCGCGCTCCCGGCCCCGCGGCCCGGCCCCGCGCCCGCCGCCCGCCATGCCGCCCGCCCCGCGCGCCGCGCTGCTGCTGCTGCTGCTGCTGCTGCTGCTGCTGGCCGGCGAGGCGGCGCCCGGTGAGTGCGCGCGGGGCGCGCGGGGCGGGCGGGGGGCGCGGGGCGGGCGGGGGGCGCGGGGGGCCCGGGGAGCGCGGGGGGCCCGGGGAGCGCGGCCCGCTCCGTCCCGCACCGGCCCGCCGAGCGCCCGGCCGGCTGACCGTCCCCCCCCCCCCCCCGCGGGCAGCCGTGATGCTGCGGGCGCGCGAGGCGGCGCAGTTCCTGCGGCCCAGGCAGCGCCGCGCCTACCAGGTCTTCGAGGAGGCCAAGCAGGGCCACCTGGAGCGGGAGTGCGTCGAGGAGCTGTGCAGCCGCGAGGAGGCCCGCGAGGTGTTCGAGAACGACCCCGAGACGGTGAGCGCCGAGGGCCGGGCGCCCCGCCCCTGGGGAGCGGATCCCACATTCCTCGCAGGTCGCCGGGGCCTGGGGCCGGTCACCCCAATGCCGGGATCTGCGCCCTCGGGGTCTGTGAAAGGGCCCCGCTCTGGGCGCCCCCAGCCCGGTGCGCCCCTGTCCTCCCGGTGACCCCCGCCTGCGCCGCAGGGGAGGGGAGGCAGGGCCCGAGGCCGTGCACCGACCGCCTCCCGCCAGGAGTGCCCGGGGCTGGCCGCTGGCCGGACCCCCTGAGCGGGAGCCTGGAGCAGGAGGGGAAGGCAGGGGCGAGCCCGAGGGGTGCAGGCGCGCCTGGGGAAGAGCGAGGGTGCAGCCGGGGTGGGGGGGCCGGTCCCCTGCCCGGGCGCGGCAGCCCAGGGACAGCGCCCGGCCTGCGGAAGCCAGCGCTGGGCAGGCGCCCTTGGGATGCTGGGCTCGCCGGGCGGCCTCCCAGCCAAACCCCGTCAGGTAGAAAGTGCTGGACACCGGGTGGGGCAGCTGCACGCGGCTGCCGGCTGCAGTTTTTCTTTTAAGGAAATCCTCGGGCTGCGCAGGAAAGGACTCGGGCTTTGTTTTGGTGCATCTGAGCCACGGGAAGGTCCCTCTGGGTCACCTTCCTGAAACAAGCTTTAACACGTGGGCTGTCCTGCGCGCTGCTGCCAGGGTTGCGGGGACACTGCCCTCAGCCTCCCAGGCCCCCCAGGGCAGCACGGTGGTGCCCCATGGTGAGCCCCCAGGGCCTGCCGGGGAGGGGGGACCTGGGGCAGCCCCACCCCCCGCACCCCCACTGTGGACAGGCCCACCCCCGCCCTGACCAGAAACGCGGTGCCCACAGGAGTGAGGGTGGGGCTTGCAGGTGACAAGGCCACGGAGCACCAGGGGCCCTGCCGACCCCACTGTCCCCTCTCCCAGGACAGACCTGAATTCTCCCGTCCGGCTGATGCTGCGGTTCCCACGGACGCTCAGCCCAGGGTGGACGTCCCTGCCCAGATATCTGGGCTTTTGTGTCTTGACTGTGATTTTGCTGCAGATGGAACCTGATGAAAGGAAAGCCGGGGGCAGGGCCCAGCCCCCCGGAGCTGTTCTCAGCTGCGCATGCAGCTGTGCACCCCAGGACGCCTGCACCTTAGCCGCCTGCACCTTAGCTGGGTGCACGGCCGGCCCCCAGCTCGCACCCCTGCACAGCTGCCTCCACCCCTCCCCAGAGTTCATGAGCTCCTGTTCCCAGAACCCTGTCCTCCTGCCCTACCCACCCCAGACAAGAATTGCGTATTTTCCTTCCCCCTCACCTTCCAGTGCGACCAGCCGCTGCCATGTCTCCCTCGCGGTTGGCTGACCCTGCCCTGCCCCTCCAGCTGGCGGAGACAGCATGGCATGCTGGGAGGAGCCGGGCCGGGGTCAGGGCGGGGGTCAAGGCCAGGGTCAGGGTTCGCGGGTGAGCGTCTCTCCTCCTCGTCTGTATTTTCCGCCCCTCTCCCCGCCATGGGCGATCCCGGATGCCCTGGCTGGACACTGTCGGGCACTGTCAGTGCCGAGGCCACATCCTAACAGCAGCGCCTCTGAAGGTGACACTGCTGTGACTGTGGCAGTTGCTTCCTCCGCCGGGAAACATGTCTTCTCTCGAGAAGCTTCCTTCCTTGCCTTTGACATGTGGCCATTTGCCCTCCGTGTGTGGCTGGGCTGCTGTCCAGCAGGGCGTGGGCCTGGCTTAGTGACCCAGACCGGGCCGAAGGGGCCTCCTGCGGGAGGAGCAGCTCCAGAGCTGGCTTTCTGGGGGTCCCCGACCTCATCCTGAGGACATTTGTGGGCTTTCCTCCTGCACCTGGCCGGTCAGTGTGAGGGCTCAGCCACGGTCACACCTCGCTTGGCCCATGACCCCACCGCTCTCTCCTGCAGCCGCCCCAGGGCTGGAGGCACTGGGAAGCACCCCCCACCTGGCCGTGCACTCCGGAACTGCCGGGAGCGTTCGTTGGCACGGGGTGGGGGCCACCCTCTGCCCGCTTAATCCCCACCTCTCCGAGCCTGCCTGTCTTTCTCTTTGGCAGGGGCAGCAGGACGGGCTCAGAGCCATTCCGCGCTGCCAGCCGCACCCCTCCCCCGCGATCAAGCACACACCTGAGCAGGAGGAGGGCTCCCCACTTGGCTTGGCCCCAGGGAGTCTGGGCGGCCTGTGGCCCTCCCTGCAGAGCCCAGCAGCGCTAGCCTAGCTGCCTTCCTGCCCCTGCGGCCCTTCCTCTCGCACCTCCTCCTGCTGATTCGGGGAACCAGGCCCACCTGTCTCCCCTCTGCAGGCTTCTGAGCTCCTCTGGAGGCTCTTCCCAGGCCCTTACAGCAGGCAGACTCCAGGCAGGGAGGGGACGCACTCCAGCCAGAACCCCCCCCGCCCGGGGCAGGCACCAGCCCCATTGCCCCAGCCACCCCGGCCATGGGCCCGACTCCCGCGGGCACCCAGCCAGGTGCCTGCCCAGCCCTGATGCTGCTCCCCGGGGCCCCGCAGCCTGCCTCTCACTGCTCGTCCCTCTGTTCCCTCTGTATCTCCCCCAAGTCTCGCTCACCTCCGCTACCCACTCCTGCTGCCCCGGCTCCCACAGGGGTGAGGAACCCCTGCGTGGGCACGGCTTGTTCCTGGGCGGCCTCAATACCCCCACACCTGCTGCCAGTCGCATCTGCCCCTCAACACACCTGCCCCATGCCCCAGGTGCTGTTGGGGTCACCTGAGGCAGCTCATGGGGCAGAAATGGGGCTCCAGGACGGGGGTGAGGAAGGTGAGGAGGGCCCTCACCACCCCAGTGACCCGCCTCCACAGTGCCAGCCCCTGGCCTGCAAGCACCCCCGCCCTGCCCCAGCGCAGCTGCCCAGTACTGCCCACCCAGACTCACACGCTGACACAGCCACACGGCCCCGCGCACCGGAGGCCAGGGTTGCCCTGAGGCAGCGTGGTGCCTGGCCAGCCAGCGAGCACGTCCTCCCAGTGAGCGCGTCCTCCTGCCAGGGCTCCATACCTGCGGGAGGAAATCCCAAGACAGCTTGAGAAGTCCTCAAAGTCCCCTTTGTTATGAGGAACAAAACGCCATTTAGGAAGCTAATGCTCTTACCCGCCGGGCAGCAGGGCGCCCCGCCACTGCCCATAGGCTGACGTGGCCGCCGGACCCTTCTCCTGTCCTGCTGGCCTCCATCCTCTCTTGCCCACAAGAAGTCAGTGCCAGGCCCTGCTCAGAGCCTGGGTGAGGGGCACCGGCCCTGCGTGCCCACATGGCCGCCCTACTTTCTGCTGACTGCCTGCAGTGGCCCAGGGGGCCTCTGTCGACTCATTCAGTCTGCCCACAGCCTGGCCAGAGTGACCCGAGGCCTAGGTGCCGCCCACACCTCTGTCCTGCGGTGGGGATGGCCTCCCGGACAGACACTGGACAGGGCCAGCCCCTACCCCTGCACCAGCCCCAGCTCCAGCCCCACCCCAGCCTCACCTGGGCCCCACTCCAGCACCCTGGCCCCGCTCTGGCCTCACCCCCACCCAAGTGGGCTGTACGTGACTCGAGTCCGGTCTGCTGAGCGTCTGCTGTGCCTCCAGGGTCCCGGCCTCCAGGGTCCCGGCCCCCCTGTGGACTTGTGAGCCAGCAGGGCCTGGAGAGCCCCGCGGACCATGCTGAGCAGCAGGACGGGTCAGCCCGCGGCAGTGGGGTCTGCAAGACGGGCCTTTCCACGTGCGCTTTATAAAATTCGGGCTACAGATGCGATTAGGTAGAACGATTTGAGAATAAAGAAATACAAAGATGAGAACTGGGGGCGTGGCACAGTGCTCCCCAAGGAGAGAACCGTCTCCCCAAGGAGAGACACAGTCCACAGCGCAGAGCCACGGTGTCCTTGACAACAGAGATACTTTGTGGACCATGCTGGCGCTTCCTGCGCGTTCCCAAGACCTTCTGTGACCTGGGGTGCCAGGTGCCCCTGGGGCGGTGCCCCATGACTCCGGGGCCCTTCCCTGGCTGCCCTGGTGCCGGGCGCCGTCGTCGGGAAAGCTTGCAGGTGGTCAGTTTCATTTGGTTTGTCAAATTCAGGGACCAGGCATTTGTCTGGATACTGGAGAGCAGCAAACAGCCATGGCTTAAGGAGACGGTTTCTCATGTGAAGACGGAGCCAGGGCGCTGTGCCCGCCGGGACGCGCTCCTGACCGCTGTGCGGGCCCCCGCTCCAGCCTGTCTTCAAGGCCTCCTCCCGCGGCCAGGGAGGGTGCGGAGCCGGCCAGCGCCCCGGGCCTGCCGCGGACGGACGGGAGCCCCTGCTCCCCAGTGCCGCTCCCTCCCAGAGCCAGCAGCAGACCCGCGTCCGCCCTCCCCAGGCGCTGAGCTGGCCGCGGAGGGGAGGCCATGGCCCGCTGTCCTTCCTGTGGCCCCTGGGCGGCCTCGAGGGCCTGCGCTCAGCCTCCAGGAAGCGAAGCTGCAGTGCGGGTCAGACCCCAGCCCCCGAGCCGTTTCTCTCCGGGGAAGAAGCAGGAGGCCCTGGTCTCTGGTGCCTCGGCCGCCTGGCAAGCTGCTTTTTCTTTTTCTCTCTCCGCAGGAGTATTTCTACCCTCGCTACCTAGGTGAGTCCTCGCTGTTCCCCTGGGGGTCAGATCTATGCGGGGGCTGAGGGTCACACGCTGGAGCAGCCGCTGCGGTCACCCCTCACGGCCTGGCCCCGGTGCCCAGATGTGCCCGGAGGGCCTGCTCCCCGGAACTGCCCTGCCCCACCTGAAGCAGCTGCAGGCTCTGGGTGTAGCGGCTCAGACAGGCGCCGTGCCCGCCTTGCCCCCACTGCGGGAAGGGCCTCCGGCACCTTCCCTGGGTCTGTGCCTCTCCGAGGCAGCATGTTCGGGGTCCCCTTTGCAACAAGCAGAGGGGCTGGGCGGGCCTGAGAAAGGGGCCGGCAGCTCCAGGCTCCCCCCTGCCACCTCGGTGTGTTTCCAGAGGCACAGGGTGGCAGTCACCCGCGAGCCGGCCCAGGCGTCCAGGATGCCCACGTGTTCAGCACAGGCCTGGTCGCGGTCCCTGCCGAGGCTGGCTGGCCAGGAGGGGGCTCCCTGGGCAGGCCGGCGGTCAGCAGGCGGTGTTGCAGGTCGGGCGCCTGCCTTGGCGTGGGCCGTGACCCCCAGGCGCCGCCTAGAGGGTCTCCGGGTGCCCGGGGGGTGCTCTGAGTGACGCCGCGAGGGTCGTTGCTGGGGCCACATCCAACCAGCCCACGTGCTCCCCTCTTGCAGATTGTATCACCAAGCATGGCTCCCCATACACCAGGAACCCCAACTTTGTCTCCTGCGTTCAAAGTAAGTGTCTCCTCCTGCTCCTGCAGACCTGGGAACCCCAGGCTCGCTTCTCCCCGAGGGCCTGGACGACCCGCCTTCTGAGGGCCTGGGGACTCCTGCACCGGCCCCTGTTCACCCCACTTTCTTTTTTGGGCAAATGCATTTTGGCAAGACCTGGAAGGCCGACCTGGAGGGAGGTGGGTGGCTGCCCTACCCTGCCCTGCCCTGCCAGGCCACCTGGCCTAGCGGGCCTCTTGACAGCCCATGGGCACAGTCTGCCCAGACAGCAGAGCCTGCCCTGAGCCCCCTGGGCCTGCTGGAGAAGCGGGTTTGTCCTTGTCAGTGAGCACAGCACAGGCAGGGTGAGCCGGGGGCGGGCAGGGCAGGCCATCCTGTCTGGCCAGTCAGCCTGCCCAGCGCTGGGGCGCACCTGGCCCGTGCCGCCCAGCAGCTGGAAGAGCCGGTGTGCAGCCTGGAAGGACAGGGAGGAAGGGCAGGCCCCGGGGCCAAGTGTCGGCAGGCACGGAGAGGGAGACAGTGGGGACCCGCTGAGCGCAAAGCCACAGGGGCACCTTGGGGGACCCTCAGCACCCCGGCACTGCCCCAGGGTCTGCAGGCCCCGCCCTTCCTGAGCCTGCACCCAGCCCACCCCCCCCCCCCCAGGGAGAGTCTGGAGCTCCAGGGCAGCTCTGCGTCCAGGCCCCTCTCTGCAGGGCCTCCCCAGGCTGAGCTCAGCTGTGTAGGGAGCCCGTCAGGGCCCCTGACCAGGGGTGTAGTGAGTGTAGTGAGTGTAGTGAGTGTGGCACCCCGAGAAAACTGGCTTGGGCGGGTGCTGCCCATGGGAGCTGGGCGCTGCCTCAGGCTTCCTGGCCGCCTGGGCCGGCTCCCTCCCGCACAGGCAGATTTCTGGAAAAGGAGGGGCCGTGCTCCCCAGCAGCCAAGACTGCAGAAGGAATGTTGGCGAGAGCTGGCGGGTCGGGAGTTTGGGGTCAGCAGACCTGGCCAGGAAGGCGGAGAGGCCCGCGGGTTAGGGTCATGCTCCTCCGCCAGGAAGGCTTTGGGTCAGCCCCGGGGGCTCTGGGGCTCCTCACTCCACCCTCTCCCAGGGCCTATCCCGGCCCCCCTGGCGTGATGGGCCTACGGCTGCTCCCCACACGCTGTCCCGGGCCTGCTGGAAGCAGCCCGAGCCTGGCCAGCCTGTACCCTGCCCTGGGTCCTGACCAGGGGAGACGGCCGTGGGCGGGCAGCGGGCCCTGAGGGTGCCAGGGCCCTCCTGCACTTCCTCAGCCTCTGGGGGCTTCAGGACTCTCCTTCTTTCCCCCCAGACCTGCCCGACCAGTGCTCCCCGAACCCCTGCGACAGGGAGGGCACCCTGCTCTGCCAGGACCTCATGGGCAACTTCTACTGCCAGTGCAGAGCCGGCTGGGGGGGGCGGCTCTGTGACAGAGGTGAGCGCGGGCACCTGGGCCCTGCAGGACAGCAGGGTCCTGTCCCCTCCCCGGCTCACCATCCACCAGGGCCACAGAGCTGGGGCCTGCTCCCGTCGAGTCAGGAGGACCTCCCGGCGGGCTGTCCTGGGGTGCGGCCGGCTCAGCCCCTGGTCCTCACCAGGTCGCCGTGAGGACCCCCTACCCTCTGTCCACACCTAAGGGTGGGGGCGATGGTCACTGCAGACACCGCCTCCTGCCCCAGGGGGTGGGTGTCGCCCACGGCTCCCCAGCCCTCTGTGTCCCGCACCCAGACGTCAACGAGTGTGGCCAGCAGAATGGAGGCTGCACGCAGATATGCTACAACCGGCCTGGCAGCTTCCACTGTGCCTGCTACAGCGGCTACACGCTGCTGGCTGATGGCCGCACCTGCCAAGGTGAGACAAGCGGGCGATGCCCCGACCCACCCTCCGCACCCCGCCCCCTGCCTTACCCCCTCCACCCCACCCCTTTTTTCCCCTTGGGCTGAATTGCCCCGACCTACATGCTCACTCCCCGGGTTCTGGGCAGAGGGAAGGCGGTGGGAGGGTGCTAGCGGGCAGCACAGGCCCGGGCATGTGGGCGCACGAGGAGCTGACCCTGCACTGGAGACTCAGGGCTGCCAAGCCTCCTGCCGCCCCCCAGGCAACAGAGTCCGGGCCCCCAGAAGCCCCAATATCTGCAGAGGTCACCAGCGGGACTGCAGACCCAGGCCCCCAGCTGCAGCCCGCCTCCTGAGAGGTCTACTCAGCCCCTCTTGCCTCTGCTTCCACAGGCCAGGGGGTTTCCTGAGGCCCTTGCCCCAGCGCTCCCCGGGGGTCCTCCTGGGCATCCCCAGGCCAACAAGGGGCAGCCCCGCCTTGCAAGGGAGCTTTCCTCCACCTCAGCCCTGCTGGGGCACCCTGCCCTCTCTGTCAGAGGCCCTGCCCCGCCAGCCACCCACCGTGCCTGGGCCTTCCTTCCTGCGGGACCCCAGGGCCGAGGAAGCTGGTGAAGGGAACTGCCGGCCTGCAGGACGTGGGTCTTGACACTCAGGGTTTCCAGGGCAGCAGAGGAGGCAGGCTCAGCCGCCTGCCAGGGAGGGAGGCAAGGCTGGGGCGCCCCGCGATGCCGGGGCGCTCAGAGGTCAGCAGACTTTAGTGCAAAGGGCCCCAGGGACAGCAGGCGATCACGTGTGTGTGCGACCGTGTCCCTGGTGTCGGTGCCCGCTGGTGTCTGCTGTCCACCTCCTAGCCAGACCTTCTCAGAAGCGCCTGCTTGCCCTGCTGCGGGCCTGGCGCCACGAGTCCAGGACCCAGGGGCACAGGCAGGAGGAGGCCGGTCGCGGGGACTTGGGGGGCCAGTGCCCCTCCCCGAGCGGAGACAGTGAGACCCCTGCAGCCACAGGCCTGGGTGTGGGTGTGGCGGCCCCGTCCCCCTGCAGCTGCACCCCTGCCTCTCCCCAGATGTGGACGAGTGCGCAGACCCTGGGGCCTGCGGGGCGGCGCGCTGCGGGAACCTACCCGGCTCCTACTCCTGTCTGTGCGACGCGGGGTTCACATTCAGCGCCCGGGAGAAGGCCTGCCGAGGTAGGCGCCGCGACCCCCACCGTGCAGTGCCACCCGGGTGGCAGAACAGTGCCAGGCGGCAGGGCCTGGAGGGCAGTCCCGGGCCCCAGAGCGCGGCAGGAGGCCTCCTGCGCCCGCACGTGTGCCTGGCCCGCAGGCCGCCTGCTGGACACCGGCTCCCCTGCGCCGCGCGAGCCGTTGGCCTCTGTGGGGCTGGGCGCGCTGACCTTCCTGAGTGCCAGCTGGGCCGGGGCGCAGAAGGGAGAGGCTCTTTCCATCCTCCTGCTGGCGGTAGCTGCGCCCTCCATGAGCAGAGGGGAGGGGCTGAGGAGCCGGCAGAGGAGGGGCGCTGCCCCTGCCCCTGCCCCCTCAGCTGCCGGGCTCTCCCCTGGCGCAGATGTGGACGAGTGCGCGGAGGGACGCTGCGAGCAGGCCTGCGTCAACGCGCCGGGGAGCTACACCTGCCACTGCGACGGCCGCGGGGGCCTCAAGCTGGCGGAGGACATGAACACCTGCGAGGTAGCGGCCCGGGCGTGGGTGGGGCCAGCGGGCCCCCCGCGGCTGTCCTCGAGCGCCCCCCACCCCCGCAGCTGTCCACGCCCGCCGGCCCACCGGCGTGGAGAAGCTGCGGTGCAGGGCACCGAACTTTCGAGAAACAACAGCCTTCAAGGCCCCGGGTCCTATTTATTTTATAGTGGTGCCGTCGCCGCCTCTTCCTCTGTGCGCCCATGGGTCTAAATGCTGGGCGACTTAACAAGCAAAGGGGGTCAGCGGGGAGGGGGACCGGTGCCGGCTGGGGGCCGCCGAGCCTGGCCGGGCCCCGGAAGCCTCCCTGGGAACGGCCTGCGGGGCGCGGCAGGGGTGGGCTGGGCGGCAGCGAGGCGGGGCAGGAGAACAGGCGCTGGCCGGCGGGCTGCCCCCATGCCCTGCCCCTCCCTACAGGACATTCTGCCCTGCGTGCCTTTCAACGTGGCCAAGAGTGTGAAGTCCTTGTACCTGGGCCGCATGTTCAGCGGGACGCCCGTGATCCGCCTGCGCTTCAAGCGGCTGCAGCCCACCAGGTGGGGGCGGCTCGGGGTTGGGGCAGCCTCAGCTTGGGCATCCTGTTCCCGCCAGCCGCCCCCCTGGAGGGCGCCCCACTGTCCAGCCCAGCGGCGCCTGGTGCGGTTCCCAGGCTGGGTCTGGGGTCCTGTCCCAAGCACCCTGGGGCCTCTGGAGAGAGACCTGGGGGGCCGGCCTGCTGAGCTGCACCCTGGCAGGCGGCGCTACAGCCTGGGACAACGGGTGTGTTTGTGCCCACAGACTCGTGGCAGAGTTCGACTTCAGGACCTTTGACCCTGAAGGGGTCCTCTTCTTTGCCGGAGGCCACCAGGACAGCACCTGGATCGTGCTGGGCCTGCGGGCCGGCCGGCTGGAGCTGCAGCTGCGGTACCAGGGCGTGGGCCGCGTCACCAGCAGCGGGCCCGTCATCAGCCACGGCAGGTGGCAGACAGTAAGGGCGCCGGGACCTGGGGCCATGGCGTGTCCTGCCTGCTGGCGCCGGCGAGGGCGCACGGAGCCAGGGCTGTGCAGGTGGGGGGCGGGGCACCAGAGGGCCCCTTGGCGGCAGCACCCTGTGGGGCCCAGAGGATATCCAGGGCAGGAGGTGGGAGGCATCACGGGGCCCACTGGGGCCTGTGGGGCCAGCGCGTCTCCCGAGGGGCATCTGGGCGAGGCGGGCCGCGTCTCGCAGCAGCCCTGGCTCACAGCGCCGGCTTGCAGATCTCCGTGGAGGAGCTGGAGCGGAGCCTGGTAGTGAAGGTGAACAAGGACGCTGTGATGAAGATCGCCGTGTCGGGGGACCTGTTCCAGCTGGAGCGGGGGCTCTACCACCTGAACCTGACCGTGGGCGGCCTCCCCTTCAAGGAGAAGGACCTGGTCCAGCCCGTAAGTCGGGGACCCCACAGCTGTGGGCAGCGCCTCAGCAGGCCGCGGGAACCTGGACAGTGGGCCTCGCCCACTCTTTCGTGAGACCCTCTGAGCTTTCATCTGCATTTTTGTCTCAATTGACGATAAAATGTCTAATTTGCAGTGGAGATAAAATGCAACGAAATTATTCTTTAACAAAAGAACAAGGAGCTCTGGACGGACGCCCCAAGGACCGTGGGGCTTAGCCTGCCGGGTTCCTGCGGCGGGCGGCCTGTGGGGGCAGGGCTCCTCCCCACCATCTCCCAGCCTGGGCCAGCAGCCAGGGTCCGGCCCTGGTTAGGGTCCCTCCTCGAGTGCCAGGAAGGGGCTGCGGGCACCAGGGAGCCCGCCATGTGCTCTGCCCGCACAGACTGAGGTCACCACTGGGTGGCCGGGTAGGAAGTGCACTGCCCACTGGCCTCAGTCCAGCCCACGTGTCTCAAGGGCATTTTGGTGCCAGGTAAGGTGCCAGCACCACCTCTACACAGTGTTTCCTCCCCCCAAGTGGAGCCAGCACCCCTCGATCACGAGTGTCCTGGGGTCAGCCACGTGGCAGGAGGGGGCGGCAGCGCAGGCGGCCTCCCAGGACAGGCACAAGGTCCCCTGAGCCCGGGCTCGCCGTGGCGGTGCCGTGGGCGCCTGGCAGTGGCTCTGCCTTGCAGATGAACCCCCGCCTGGACGGCTGCATGCGGAGCTGGAACTGGGTGAACGGGGAGGACGGCTCCATCCAGGAGACCGTCAGGGTGAACGGGAAGATGCAGTGCCTGTCAGCGGCCGAGCGCGGCTCCTTCTACCCCGGCCGCGGCCTTGCCTTCTACAGCCTGGCCTACGGTGAGCGTGGGGGCGTGGGGGGCACCCGGGACGGAGCGCTGGGGGCCGTGTGGGCGGGGCCGGGCTCCCGCGGGCAGACCCAGGACGGGGCGCCGCTCTGTGCGAGGAGTCAGGGAGGCTCCCAAGGGGCTGGGACTGGAGAGGACAGAGCTGGTTGGGCCACCGGGGCGGCTGCTGGCGCCTGGGTTTCCATGAGGACCAAGCCTGGGGGGCTTTCTCCTCCCTGGGGCAGGAAAGGGGTGAGCACTTGCCCTCCTGGCCTCGAGAGCCATAGCAGGGTGTGGCTGTGAGGCTGGGCCGGGCGGGAGTGAGGCAGCGTCCATCCCTGACCCAAGTGCAGAGGCCTTGGCCTCGGTAAAGCAGGAGCCCAGGCTTCCTAGAACAGGGCCCACCAGCTCCTCCACGCCCTGGGCCGGCAGAGCCCGGACCGTGCCCCCGCCCTGAGCGCCTGCTGCCCCTCGCACACCCCTCAGCCCCGTGTCCACTGCCCGAGACCGGGTGGTGAGCTGGCGGCCAGAGCCATCCAGAGCTCTTCCCAGGGCTCCTGGCGCGGGGGGCTCTGTGGCTGCTCCTCCCCCCTTTCCGTCGCCTGCTCCTGCCCAGCCTGGCACGGCCACCTCAGCCACTGCCCAGGCCACCATCCCAGCCCCGCCCCCTCAGCGCTGCCGTTGCCCATGCGGCACCACAGGGCACGAGGAGCCAGACTGCCCCTCTGTCCTGGGGAGCCAGGCGCCCTCCCAGCCTGCGCCCCCGTGTCCCATGGGCCCGCGCCCTGGTTGCCCACAGCCTGTGCCCAGTCTCTGCACTGTCCGGTCGTGCCTCTGCGATGAGACAGTCTGCGGCGCCAGAGGTTCTTGCAGGGACCCAGTGGGCCTTTTGAGATCCTGAGCTGTGCGCTCATGTCCGCCCCACACAGGGACTGCGCAGGTCAAGGCCCTGAGGGTCACCGCCATCCCCCACTTCCCCTCTGCCCACGGCCCCCAGAGCGCTCCGGCTCTCCGCCGCTGCTCACCGCCGGCTGCCCGCATCCACACGCGGCGCGCACAGCCAGCTCACAGCGGGCAGAGGGCCCACGCGGGGCGGGGACGCGGCGGGGCCGAGTGCTGGCAGGAGCACAGGCAGCCAGGCGCCCCGGCTCACCCTGCACACACGCCCTAGGGGGCCTCAAGCCCTGTGGGCCCAGCACAGAGAAAGGGCAGAGGGGTGGACACGGCCCGGGTGCGTGTGCTGCTTGCCCTTGACGCTCAGGGTCAGATGCCCCTGAGTGCAAAGCCCTGGGTCAGGGGAACCGGGTCAGCTCCCAGGCCGCTGCCCTGGGGGCCGAGACTGCGCATCCAGCCTCACAGGGAGGCCGTGAGAGCACGTCCTGTGGACACTGAGGTCTGGGACCCCAGGCCCAGTGGCCTGTGCCTGGGGCAGGGGCACCGAGGGGGAGATGCGGGTCCGGAGGCGTCTGTTTCTCCGTCCTCCCTCGGCGGCGGCTCGTTCGACGCGCTGACCAGGCCGAGGCCCCGCCGGGCACCGCTCACTCTGGCCTCTGTCCCGCTTGCACGGCGCGGTGGTGCACGGCCTGCATCGCAGCTCGCACGTCCCCAGACCTGGGCACCGAGGCCACCTGGGAGATAGAGGTCGTGGCTCGGATCCGCCCCGCCACTGACACGGGGGTGCTGCTCGCGCTGGTGGCCGAGGACCATGCCGTGGCCCTGTCCGTGGCCCTGGTGGACTACCACTCCACCAAGAAGCTCAAGAAGCAGGTACCACTGCTGCCGCGGGGCGGGGCCCCACCTCCTGGGGGCTCTGGCTGCCCCCACCCTTCCAGCCTAGAAGTCCTGTCCCCGTCCTCATTTCTCCAAGGCTGACGGGCCAGGCAGCCCCCCAGCACGCCCCCCACTACGCAGCGTGGCCCTCCTCACATAGCCCTCCCCCAGCGCTGCTCCCACCCCCCAGCAGGATGCCCACCTCTGCGCCCTCAGCGCCCCCAGTCCTGCTCTCGGAGAGCAGCTCAGTCAGGGCAGGTGTGACCCAAGCGGGAGGCCGCTGCAGCCGGCGCCCTCGTCCGCCCAGCCCGGGGCTGGCGCCAGCAGGGGCCCTGCCCGGAGACTCAGCCTGCGCTCGGGTCCACAGTCCAGGCGCGCGCACCCTCCCAGGGTACAGAAGCCGCTGTGCCTGTGCGTCCCAGCCTTTCAGCCCAGGCTGGGTGGTCTGCAACCCGGGCTGTGCCCGGACTCCGGGCGGCCGCATCACTCTGCTGTGCTCAGCACAGATGTCCCGGCCGCGGCCTCTGCTGGCCTTGGGTCTGTGTGCTTGGCCGGCCCCTGGGGGCTGCGTGTGACCCCACCCCCTGGGAGCATGATGGGGCACCGCCACCCACCCTTGCCAGCAAATGTGTAAGCAGCAGCAAAGACTCAAGGCCCCGAGCCCGGTCATAACATGCACATGCACCCCGATGCCAGGAGGCCAGTGTGGGGACCCCTGCAGACCTCTAGTCAGCATATGCACCCATGGCCAGTAGCCAGGGGCTGCTCCCACCCCCCCCCAGCCTACAGCCTCCCCTGAAGCCCAGAGCCAAGAACTTGTACCCCCACAGCCCCCCTGGACCCCAGAACCCAGAACTTATACCCCCACTGCTCAGCGCCTCCCCGCACCCCACCCTGCAGCTCAGTGCCTGTCCCCCGCAGCTGGTGGTGCTGGCCGTGGAGAGCATCGCCCTGGCGGTGATGGAGATCAAGGTGTGTGACGGTCAGGAACACGTGGTACGGGTCTCGGTGAGGGACAGCGAGGCCACCCTGGAGGTGGACGGCACCAGGGGCCAGAGCGAGGTGAGCCCCGCGGGGCTGCAGGAGCGTCTGGCTGTGCTTGGGAGGCACCTGCAGGGACCGGTGCTCACCTTCGTCGGGGGACTACCAGGTAAGGACCCGCTGGTGCACGGGGGTGGGGTGCTCCCAGTGGCCCCAGCTCGTGAGCCTCCCTACACCAAGTGGGTCTTTGACTCGAGGAAGAGGGCACTAGCGTGGTGGACAGGCCACCTCGGTCCTTCACCAGATCAGCTTATGGGGTGAGGCTGAGCGAGGCCTCCCTGGGGCGGGCCAGCGCCCCCAATGCCTGAGGGCCCAGCCCAGTGCAGAGGCGCCTGCCCGGGGCAGATGGGCGGGATGGACTGTGAGTAGGACGCGGCTGCCAAGAAGACCCAGTTTCCACAAACAGCCCGCACGGGCGGGGGCCAGGCCGCCCCTCTTGCCGAGAAAACACGGTCCGCAGGGCCATGGGCTCAGGGCTCTTCCTGGGGTAAAGGCAGGGTCTCCGCGGGGCCTGACGGCCGGTGTTCAGGGCTGCCCCGGGGCCTGTGGCCAGGCCAGGCGGCGGCTGGGGCCCCAGTGCCTGTGAGCGGGCGGCTGAGCGCTGCTGTCCCTGTCCCAGATGTGCCGGTCACTGCTGCGCCCGTCACGGCCTTCTACCGCGGCTGCATGACGCTGGAGGTCAACCGGAAGGCGCTGGACCTGGACGAGGCCGCCTATAAGCACAGCGACATCCTGTCCCACTCCTGCCCCCCGGTTGAGCCGGCCGCCCCCTGACCGGCGCCTGCCAGACGGAGGCCCGACCCTCTGCTGTGAATGTGTAAATAGTGGGAGACGGACCTCCCGGCCGGAACCACACCCCACCCTCGGCACCACGGGAGCGGCGGCTGGCTCCCGCCAGAGCGTGCCCACGAAGATAACGCTGTTATTTTTATTACCAGATGCTTCTTTCTGACCTGAAACTATGGGGAAATAAAATCTTCACAGACGTCTTTCTAACCCTGCGTGGGCAGTCTCGCTGCCTCCCCGCCCAGGGACCTAAGGTCGAGGCCTGGGTCACAGCCCGGAGCTTGTGCAGCAGCGTGGCCAGTGGCTGGTGCCATTGGCCTCTGCCCGCAGCTGACCTGCTGTGGGCCGAGGCCAGGCGGGGCCTGAGCGGGCAGCAGGCGGGGGCGGCAGCCTGTGCCCAGCGTGGAAGGAACAGCGCCTGCGCGGAGCCAGTGGGCCGGCCAGGAGGGCTGGGGTTGGGGGCTGGGGTGCAGGGGAGAGCCAGGATGGCTCTGAGGTGGGGTGGACGCCCAGGCATTCAGACACAGGTTTCGGAGATGTCCCCGGGGCTGTGTGGTCTGGTGGCACCTGTCCATGTAGACACAGGCCAGAGCGGGGGTCAGCAGTGACCCTGCCCGGAGCCCTTGGCTGAACTCAGCCTCTAGGTGAGCAGACTGAGGCCTGTGGTGCCAGGGCCTACAAGGGCCTTCAGGGCTGGCCTGAGGTGGCGCCCGCACTGACCGGCAGGCCGGGTCCTGGGTGCACCCCCTGTCCTTGGGTCCTGCTCCCTGGTGGGCCCTCGACCTGCAACACGTACGTGTGGGTGTGGGCGTGCGTGCATGCATGTGCACGTGGCCGCCTGTGGGTGCGGTGCCCCCGTCCTCCCCAGCTCTGCCCGCACTGATCAGAGGTTCTGCAGACTGGGGGCCCAGGAGACTCGTGAGAGGCCCCGCTGGTGTCTGAGAACCAGGGTAACAGCCTCAGGGGGTGGGAACCCTGGGCCTGCGGGGGACGCTCACCAGGGGTGCTCCGGCCTGTGTCCCCACCAGCTGGCCCCCGGTAGGCGGGCAGCCTGGACTGGGCTGGGCAGGCGGGCTGGAGGTAGCCCCAGCTGTCCATCTAGGCTGGGAGGGCCCAGTTCCCAAGAGCTCTGGGGCTGGCCAGGAGGGCTCGGATGTGGATGTTCCCTGCCCAGTAGGCAGAGGGATCCGGCTGACCCACCTCCAGCCCGTGGAGCAGGCCCCGGCGGCTCCGCCCTGCTCTCAGGGCCCTATGTCGTCAGCACAGGGCCGAAGCCCCGACCGCGGGGGTGTCTGGCCGACTCAGCTTGCCTGGGCGCGTGTGTGGAGACAGCCCTGGAATGTTCCCGGGCAAGGCGCCCCTGGCCAGCAGGAAGCCTGCTCCGGACTGGTCCAGCTCCCTCGAGACAGCTGGGGCCAAGCTGAGTGCTGGGTCCCGGGACACACATCCAGGGCCGGCATCCAGGCTGGCTGACCGCCCGGCTGGTCGCCCCAGCTGCGTGGTCGTCGGGGGTGCCAAGCACACATCTACCCGTGTGGTTCCCACTGGGCACCAGGGATCCCTACAGCTTCCCAGAAAACACCTGGCCAAGGCCAGAACCTGCCCAGTGCAGCCAGGCTGCTGTCCACCTGGATCTGGTGCAGGAGAGCCGGCTGCAGAGGGGCTGCTCCCAGGCCTTGTCTCTGTGCGGGTCCGGGCCTGAGAGTGACTAGGGGGGACACCGGGGCAGCCGGGTGAGTTCATTTCAGTTTGCTGCTTTTTTTCAAGAGCAACCACAGATTTATTCGCTTTTCTGTTTTGATTTTGGGGCGCTACTGACCAGAGGCGGCTATTCCGGCACTTCATGAGTTGCCAGGAGCGCCCCCACACATGGAGGGCGTCTACGGAGGCGCTGCTGCAGGAGGCGCGTCCCCCCACCCCAGACCGGCGTGCTCTGCGGCTCCGCTGCCCCGCGGGCGTGAGCAGGTCCCCACGGCGGCTCTCCCGCAGCCCCCGCCCTCGCCCTGGGCAGCCTGCGACCCCCGGGGCAGCGCGGTCACTCTGCCCCTAATAGGACATCGCCGCGCCGGAAGTTCTCCCTGGTGGACACGCAGAGCGCGCCGCGGCGCTGAGCAAGAGCTTCTGAGGAGCTGCCGTGGCCCCGAGGGCACGTTGGGCCCCGGCACAGCCTGGGCCGTCCATCCCACAGCGGCGCCCAGGCGGCCCTCCCGCCCGCGCGGGCCTCGGGAGGGCAGGGCAGGAGAAGCCCGGCGGCCTCCGACTCTGGGGGCCGCCCACCCACCCGCCTGGGGAGACGGGCCTCGCAGCAGCTCGGGCACCCCAGCCAGCGAGGCCCTGACCCGGCTTCCGGAACATCGCGGCGCCGACCCCCGGGCGGCTTGACCTTTCTTGCAAAGCAAAGCACAGTCACCGGGTGCCCAGCCACGGTGCCCCAGCGGACGCCCACCCCCAAGCAGCCCCGCAGGCCGTGGCCAGGCGTGAGTGGGCAGCTGAGTCCATCAGACATGGAGTATTTTTCGGGGCTAAAACCATGGAAAGACACAGAAGAACTTAGAGGCACGTGGCTGGGGGCCTCCGTGCCACCAGGCCACCCGCGGGGCGCTTCTCTGCACTGTGGAGGGCCAGGCCGAGGGGTCACACGCCAGGGTGGACGGCAGCCCAGAGCACCTCAGGGCGCACAGCGGCACTGGGCCTCTGGGACCACTGACGCGGCCACTGCACTTCTGGCGCCCACAGGCTGCGCGGCGCTGTCTGCTCTGGGGGCATCCACGTGGCGGGGGGGCGCGTGCAGACGGGGGCGGGGGGCTGTGCATGCAGGGGCGCTGGGGGTGGGGCCTTCCCCCAACTTGGTTGGAGACCTGCAACACACTCTCTTGGAAAAGCCAACACACAAGACCCGGAGCTGCCCCTCGGAGGCGCAGAGAGGAGCCCTGGAAGAGGGTGGGGGTGCACCCTCCCCAACGGGGGACAGGGCACCTGCCCTGCAAAGGCTGCAGCACCCCGCGGTCCAGGGGAACAGTCCAGACACACAGGCCGGCTGCCTGGGCCCGCTGGCAGCACCCCGACTCGGTAGCAGGTCTGGGGGGCTCAGGGACAAGCATGTTGGGGGTCAGTGCTGGGCCCACGGCGGAGACCGGGCGGGTGTCGGCTCCGGGGGAAGTCCACATGTCCCTGCTGGCCACCCAGGGTGCCCCAGAGGCACCTTGCGTGTCCCCAAGAGCACAGGGCTGCTGCTGCCCGAGGGGGGCGCCGCCCCACAGCAGGCCCGCGAGTCGGGGCGCGCCTGGGCCTGCAGCCGCTGGGTGAACCCCCACCTTCTGATGAGCGATTTCATCATGAAAACAGGAAAGGGGTCACACAACCCTGCCACCCCAGACCTGTGCCCCCATACCTTCCTGGTGCCGGCGGGGGCCCTCCCAGGGGGCCCAAAAGGTCACCATCCCAAGCCTGGTGGTGGGATCGCCTCAAAGCCAGCAGTGTGGGGGGGTGGGGGGCGCATAGGAAACCACACCTTCTCGACCCCCGCCCCCTGCTGGCTCCTCCCCACCCCCTTGCTCCCCCGTCCCACCCCCACGGCTGTCCCCCACCCCCCAGGACGGTCACTCGGATTCAGCCCGGCGCGAATCATCTCCGAGGCCCGTCCTCCCGCCTCACGCGCGATCCCTGGTCTGTAGGGGCTCTCGGAAGCCGCTCAGGGGGCCACCTGGGAGGCGCCTGCTCAGAGGCTAGAGCCCCCCAGCCCCAGGGAGCGGCCCCCCCGCCACTACTCGCAGGCACAGACTCCCCACTCGCCACCCTGGAAGCAACACTTGTATTTGAGCCGAGTGTCTTTTCTTTCCACGAAAATGCTGGGGGGGTGGGCAGTGTGGAGGCCTGGGGACCCTCCAGGGGGCACGCTTGCAGCTGCAGGGACATGAGCGCCCAGCCAATGGCCGCGACCAGCCAGCGGAACAGCGGGCGTGACCGGCCAGCTGGGGGACCCCAGAATAGCCTGTCTGGGGCGGGAGGACCTGTGGCTAGGCTGGGCTGGTCAGCAGCCTGGGCACCAGGCACATCCACCCCGGGCTGCCCATCCTCGCTGCCGAGCGAGCCACGGCCAAGCCAGCCGGACGCCTCTTGCGGGTGGCCCAGCGGCGGGTCCTCAGAGGCAGGCTGGCCACGCTGCCCTCGGTCAGGGTGTGTAGGGGGGGGCTTCTCCCAGGGGAGGGGGCGGGCTGGCGCAGAGCACGGGGTCCCGTGGGGGGTGGGGCCACTGCTGGAGCCAAACGCGTCCTCACGCGGCACCGGGGCGCTGGGCAGCAAGGCAGGGAGGGGGCCAGCGGGCTGCAATCAGATAGAAGACTGGCTCAGTGGGGGTCCTGGGGCGGGAATGGGACACAGAGGCAGGCCCTCCCCTGCCTGTCACCACGCGAGGCGCCCTTTGTGCCCCAGGGGGCTAAGGGAGGCCTGGCCTGCTGCACGGTGGGGGCTGCTGCTTGGCCATGGCTGCTGGCTGGTGAGGGGTGGCCCTGACCACAGGGGCCTGCTGGCCACACCCTGCAGGCGCCCAGGCCCCCAGTTGGCTTAGAGAGAAGTGGGTCACCTCAGGGGCTCCCCCATCAGCCTAGAGCCAGGGAATGGGTTCTGCCACCTGGGCTGCAGCTGCGGGTCCTGTCTTCCCTCAGGGGGCCTGTCCTGGGGGTGTCTGTCCTGCCTCAGGTGCCCTGTCCTCCTTGGGCCTCCAGCACCAGCCTGCCCAGCCGCCTGTCCGTGGCCCACACGCACTGTTCACTGTAAGCCGCCCCAGTGTGAGTGACCAGCCACCGCCATGCAGACTGGCCACCGGAGTGACCCCTAGACGAGGCTGGAGACTTGAGTGGAGCCCTGCCCGAGTCTCTGCCAGGTGTCCCGCGGCCCAGACTCCAGGCTGGCAGCAGAGGCGAGGACGGTAGGCAGCGCCTGGGAGCGGCCGCTACTGTGGCCCAGAGAGGAGGCCCCAGGCGGGAGGTGCAGGGACTGTGGCGTCCCGGGGTGGCTGCCCGAGGCCAGGGAGGCTGTGTCCCTGGGCATGCCCGCTCCAGAGTGGTACCCGGAGGTCATCTCTGCCCTTGGGGGTGGCCAGTCAGAGCCAGACCCTCCCAGGTGGAGAGGGTGCCCCCAGCTGCACTGCTAGGGACACAGGACCCGCAGGGCCACCACGGACGCCCCTTGGGCCTGAGCTGGTGGGAGG